AACAACAACAACAACAATGTAATCCATCATCATAACAGTCTAAAGAAGAGCAACCACATGTTCATGTCAACAGATGCAGGAGAAACATTTGACAAAATTCCAGACTCCTGACCAAAATGCCCAGCAAACTCAGAATAGAGGAAAAAATCCTAAAAATGATCAAGCACATCTGCAAAATATTGCAGAACCAATATTTGTGATGTTGAAAAGCTGAACGCTTGCTCCCACTCCACCCCACTTCTGTACAAAGACAAGGATGCCCACGCTCACTTCCCATCCAACATTAAAGAGCAATGAAGAAAGAAACAAAAAGACAGATTGGAAATATGGAAATAAATGGCCCCTATTTGCAACCGGCATGATTATACCTACTTAGATCATCCCACGTCATCTACAAGAAAACCAGAAAGTGTGAGTTTGGCCAAAACCAACAAAACCCAAAAAGCACTGCCCTGGAGCCTGGTCCACCTTCCGGGGCCCTGCGCAGGGTTCCAAGACTGCAAAGCTTGAAGGGAACAGAGAGCCTCATCTTTCTCTTGGGGAGCGGCTGGTGGATGTGAACTGCAGACTAGTTAAGACTACCCACCAGGGCTCCTTGGGGTTAGCAAAGACACATTTCCATATACTACCAATGGACAAGTGGAAACACACTTGAACAGAGTGAATTTCAGTGACAAAGCTACAAGTCAGAAGGCTTCCCATTAGCTGTGATACACAGCTACTTTGTCAGCTAGTTTAGTGACCTAGTTCACAGATTACATGGGACATAGCCCCTGTGCCCTACGTCAGGATAAGCATTATGGCAGATGGGACCCTTCCTCCTGGGAGAGAATGTCAACGCGGCCATTTGAGCCGCAGGCCCCTTAACCCGCCTTCACTTACTGCTCTGGCCTTTCCTCGGGGGAAGGCTGTCCCCTTCTTCCTCAAGCGGCTCCGGCCTGTGTAGGAAAGCACAGACCTCTGGGTGCAGCTCGTCCCCACCCGCCTCCCCTGCGGCCAGCGCTCTGCAGTGCAGCACCAGGGAAACATCTTGGTTGTAGAAACGAAAATACCGGCAGACTCTGCTGGCTTCATGTACAGAGCCTTCATCCAATAGATGCCCGATCAAAACATTCAGAGACTCTGCCTCTTTCCAATCCAGTTCATTCTCGCGGGAGCCTTTGGATGGAACACCATTAAGCTCTAAGTATTCTGATGTGTTCAGAGCAGGCAACTTGGAGAAGGCAAACTCCCTGGCTAAGCTATCAAAGGAGAGTTTGCCCCGGGTTGGGAGCTGCTGAGAAGCTCTGGGGTCTGTTTCCTCCTGGCTCCCTCCCACTGTGTGCTGACTGAGGCGGCACAGCCAGATCTGCTTCTCCAGCTCCTCCAGCTCGGCCAAGGGCACCAGGGCCCCCTGAGCGAGCCAGTGCCCTGCCAGGGTGAGCAGCAGATGGCGCTCCTCGGGCTGGGGTGGGGGCACACTCGCTGCCAGGGCCTGGGATGAGAAAAAAGATGAAGCAGCTTTGCGGGAAACGCAATGTTTCTTAAAACTCTCATGGCACTTTTTCCAGAAGCCAGCTCTTTCTTGGGTAAGGGACCACTGTTCCGTGTGTCTTAGAGTCTGCATTTCCCGAGTCATCTGTGAAATGCAAACAAAACAAAATTTAGCCAAACTTTGAAAAGTACTATACGTGCTATGGCTGAAGCACAGCAGAAAATAGGGGGCTTGGCAATAGTAGCCACTTGACTCTTCAGGGGGCATCAAAGATATTTGGAAGGCAGACTTTGAGTCGAATAAGTTCTCTTTCTGGTTCCCTGAGTATCAGACAAGCTTAACTTACCCCCACCCCGACCCCCCCCGCCATACCTCACATGACCCGGCACGCTATCTGGAAGGTGAAGGCAAACAACTGTCTAATGAAGTGGAGCTGAGTCAAGTCACTTTACATCTAGTTCTATTTATAGGAAGAAAACAGCTAGAGCAAATTCTAACATTAACCTTCTATTTAAAACACACACTCTCAGGTAACGGGTGTCCTGGCGTCATCATCTATTTCTGAAGTGACGTGTATCTAAAGTGAAAGAGCTTCATCTCTTGTAGACTGTATGCCTCATTTGACTCTCTAACACTGGTTTAAAGGCTAATGTTGTAAATAACTTAGAACGGTGCAGATACCTCTTCAATGACCAAGTTGTCCACAGGTAACTCCGCTACTTCTGCTACCCTCCTGGCCAAAGCAAACTGTCCATCTGCCTGCAGTCTTTCCAAAACAGATCTACACTCATGCTGGAAAGTCTCGGTGCTGTAACTGGTGATAAGTGCACGGTTAATGGATATAGATGTATCCTTCAATATTTGGCTGAGGTCACAAAGCTTCTTCACATCTGGACCTGTGCCAGAAGAGGATGAGAACATTTAACAAATGAAATATCACGGTGGTATTTCAGGAGGAGCTGACATCAAATACGCATGTCTGTTTAATGTAGTAATGAGGTTAAAGGCCAAGAAAAAAAAGCCCCACAAAATTCTCTTTTTCTACCCTGGTGACTCGACGAGGAAGCGTCAAAGGCAGCGCCTGTGGTGCTGCCAAGAACACTGACAACCTCATGGTCTGCCAAAGAGCAACCAAATCCGCCTCGGCCAGCATGCCCCTGAGAGGCAAGGATGGCGAGATCGCGTCCCCCGACTTCGGAATTGTGGTGAGGAGCGGCCATTCCCGGGAAAGGAACATGCTTGGTAAAGGAGTGGAGCAGCAAAAAGACGAAGACCCTTAATGAGACCCTTTCTGTTGACACAGTGGCTGCAACAACATAGCAAGAGCTGTGAGGATGAGAGCCCCCAATAAAATGATTAAAAACAACAACTGTGAGAAGAGTTGGGCCTGGCGGTGTTTTGTTCAATTATACATCGGGTCGCTAGTCAGAATCAAACAAGAAGCACATCTTGCTACACCACAGATATTCTATGACAGTCAATACCATGTAATTGCGTGAATACAAACATTTTAGTAATTAATGGTCAGTAATGTAGTCAGCCCTTTTAATTACCTAGGGATAGAATAACCCAGGCACCAAAAAAATCTGGAAAAATTAAAATTATTACCGATCAATGAAAATAGCTTTATACGGCTCTACTGCTCAGTGCTATATGGTAATTGACAGGTGCCAGGCTGAATTTACTGCATTTTTTTTAATGCCCACTCTCTTGAGTTCCTCAGGCCCACAGCCCACACCGGCCCTGGGCCCTGCATTCTGTCAGTGCTCTGTGCAAATCTAAGGTCTGCAGTTAAACCTCTGTGAGTTTAAATGCGGTAAAATAGCCCGAGGAGTGAAACTATCAGAGTCTGACGTAGAAGAATAATACAGCAGTCAACAAAAACTTGCAGTTGTCAAACAAGTGGAAAATGGGGCAAGGCAATATCGCTGATCTGATCGGCCAATGTCTGGGAAAGTCTGCAAAGAACGAGCACAGTCTGTCTCCAAAGCTCCCCAAATGGGTTACGTTTGTGACCCTGGGCAACGATGGCATGTGGAGGCAACTCTCCAGAGAAGAGAATTCTAGTGCCAGGGTAAGGCAGAGGCCAGGGGGACAGGGAAGAGAGGAGGGAGGGTGGCTATCTGATAGCTGCTTGTTTGAGAAGCTAGTTGTTTGAGTCTTTAAGTCCTGTGCGTGCATGCCTGTGTGTGTGTGTGTGTGTGTGTGTATAAAATATTATATTATATTTAATGCTTTGACCATGATTGAAAAGCAACCTGTGCAACTTCTTCACACTCAGTTATGGACTACAAATAAAAAGTTATACGAGGGGCTGGGGTAGTGAAATTTCTTCATATGGCTCTCCTACCCAAGTCTCTGTAAATCCCCTCAAATGACTGGATGGGACTAAGTAAACAGGGCTTGGTCAGTGTCCGTTACCGCCCTCTGAAGGAGAAGGGAGACACCGAGGGCCTTGGAAGGACATGTTCAAGATCAGTCTGAAGTGGCGGAGGCTCCAAGACCAGACGCATCACAGACTGTGGCATGGCCACTCAGAGGAGCAGTGCCAAGACTACGGGCCACTTCCTCCTCATCTGGCCTGAGACTGTGTGACTGTGGGATAGAGCGACAGGTGGGCTGGCTTCCCGGCTGACAGAGGCAAAGGCCAAGGGGCCACGTGGCTGAGAGACTAAGAACTGGAGACAGACTGGGCCGAGAAGCTGAAAACCGAAGAGAGACCTGGCTGCTGGCTGAGGAGATCAGTGACTTTAATGTTACCATCTCCTGATCCTGACTTGTGGCAACTTATCAACGTCCCTAATAACCCCCACCCCCTGTGAGTCCTATGTGGCCATTGCAGTGAATTATCAACCCCAGCCTCGCTGTGGCGTGGTACGGGAGGAACAGTTGATCACAGGATAGGCAGAGAAGGATGGACCACGGAGGCCTGTCTGGCCCCTGCCTCGTAGCAAGTGGGGAGCCAGAGGAGGTCAGTGATGGCCCTCTGTTGCCGTTTATCGCAGAGGGTTCAGAAAACTCATGGACAAATGGAATGGAAAGCCAGTGGCATTCTCCTATAAACTTTATGAAGCTCCCTCGTATATTATTGCATTGTAATTTCTTTCTTGACTGCTTTTCCAAAATAGTTTCATGATTAAAGAAGCTAACTTCTTAAAAGGTTCGTATCAGGCCGGTCTTACCATCAGAGAAGAGATGCTCCAGTCCAATGAGCAGCTGTAGGAGCCTCTCCAGCTCGTACTGGGTGCCACACTGCTGCAGCATCAGCTTCAAAAGGACACGCCCCTGCTCCCGCAGCCAGGAGGGAGGGCTGAGAGGATGGGCCTTTGGGGCTGCTGCTTCAAGCTAAGAAAGCAGAAGACAGGGTGGGTCATGGAGGGGGGTTTCACAGGAATAGCAGATCAGAAGCTCCAATTCTGAAGACACCTAAGAAAGCCACAAGGCCATCAAGAACATCATTTCCTGTCACAAAGGAGGAGCCTTGGTGACACAGTGGGCTGCAAACTCAAGACCAGCAGTTTGAAACCAGCTCCTCCTGCAGTTACAGAAACTCAGAGGAGATCTCCTCTGCCCTATAGGCTTTCTATGAGTTTGGTTTGTCATCAAGGAGGGTATGTATTTAGTCCCCAATTCTCTTCTTCCCACAAGACGCGCGCTGGTAGTAGCATTCAGCGGAGTGGCAACGCCAGCCATCCTTAGGAGCTCTCTACTTTCTGAGATGGCCGGTGCAGAGAACTGCATGTGTGGAAGTCATAGCTGGGCAAGAGTCCTAAAGATGAAGCCTAACAATGATGGGGACCAATATCGCTATCTCTAGTTAGGGCCTGCCTCATAGTTAGTCCTGTGAGATACCGTAAGTGTTCCACCTCACATTTCCTTTAGCTCTTGAGTCTAGAAGATTTTCAGGTCACATAGAAAGCCTCCTTTGAGTCTAGAAGACACTTGCTTACACACTGCTGAGCTGGTTCCACCAGTTTGGTTGTAGGTGAGGCTCATTAGAGAAAAATCTCGACTAAAAGGCGCCTTGATCTATATCTTTTCAACCAACTGCTGACAGTATTAATAAGAAGTTCGCCGAGGATCCCAAATAGCAGGTCCACTTCTAAGAGAAGGTGAGGCAGAAACACCTGGACCTTGGAGACACAGGGAGAGGCTCGTGCCTTTGAGGAGTGGTGTTTTCCCACATGCAGCTGCTTTCTGAGGGGGCTCCCTGGTTAGTTTGGGGTCCTTCACTTCATCGTCTTTGAGGGAAGCTACTTTGTGGCCCTTGGTCACTGTACTTCTGTTTACTCTAGACTTAATACAAAGTAATCACACACAAAATACTGGCTTTTTGGTATAAAGACACTTCTCCGCTTTCATAAATATGTAATATGTGTTAATAAAGGCCCAAGTAGGTAATTTATTATGTCTGTCCTTGCCTGGATTCGGGCTGAGTTTTGGCTCCCTGCTCCTAGACACGCCTGACGACACTGTAAAGGTCACTTTCAAGATAAACCGAATATGCACAGAGGCTGTCTGTGATACTGATTTGAAAAGCCAACACCCTTTTAGATGGTATGCCCAAGAATGCCAAGCTCTTAATTTAAACAATGGCTTATAAAATCCTCTGTCCTCCTCAGGAACAATAATGGGAGTAGCGATACCATGAGGGTAGAGGGACGGTGGGGGGAGAAAGGGGGAACCAATCACAAGGATCGACGTATAAGCCACCTCCCCACCCACCCAGGGTGACGAACAACAGAAACATGGGTGACGGGAGACAGCGGACAGTGTAAGATACAAAAGTAGTGGATAGCAAATGTTTTGAAAATGATGAG